TAGAGTTTATTGGGTCGCTTATGTAAACTATCATATCATCTGCAAATAGAGACAGTTTGACTTCTTCCTTTCCAATTCGGATCCCCTTGATCTCCTTTTGTTGTCTTATAGCATTAGCTAGAACTTCTAGTACAATATTGAAGAGATATGGAGAGAGAGGACAGCCTTGTCTTGTTCCTTATTTTAGAGGAATTGGCTTGTTTCTCTCCATTCAGTTTGATGTTGGCAGTTGATTTGCTGTATATTGCTCTTATTATGTTTAGGTATGTTCCTGTTATCCCTGACCTCTCCAATACCTTTATCATGAAAGGGTGTTGAATTTTGTCGAAGGCTTTTTCTGCATCTAGGGAGATAATCATATGGTTTTTCTTTTTCAGTTTGTTTAAATGGTGGATCACGTTGATAGATTTTCGTATGTTAAACATCCCTGCAATCCAGGGATGAAGCCTACTTGATCATGGTGGATGATTTCTCTGATGTATTCTTGAATTCGGTTTGCCAGTATTTTATTGAGTATTTTGCATTGATGTTCATCAGGGATATTGGTCTGTAGTTTTCTTTCTTAGTTGTGTCTTTGTGAGGTTTGGGTACCAAAGTTATTGTGGCCTCATAAAAAGAGTTTGGCAATAAACCTTCTGTTTCTATCTTGTGGAACAGTTTGAGGAGTAGTGGTATTAGTTCTTCCTTGAATGTCTGGTAGAATTCTGCACTGAATCCATCTGGCCCTGGACTTTTTTTTCTGTTTGAAGGCTTTTGATGACTGCTTCTAGTTCATTGCGGGTTATAGGTCTATTTAAGTTGTTTGTCTGTTCTTGATTTAATTTTGGTAAGTGATAGTTATCCAGAAACTTGTCCATTTCCTTTGAATTTTCAATTTTTGTGGCATACAGATTTTCGAAGTATGACCTGAAAATTGTCTGGATTTCCTCTGTCTGTTAATGTTCCCCATTTTGTTTCTGATTTTGTTAATTAGCATGTTCTGTCTCTGCTTTTTCGTTAATTTGGATAAAGGTTTGTCTATCTTGTTTTTTTCTCAAAAAACCAACTCTTTGTTGCATTGACTTTTTTTTTTTTTTTTTTTTTTATTGTTTTCCTGGTTTTCTATTTTGTTTTCAGCCCTCAAGTTGATTATTTCCTGGCGTCTACTCCTGCGGGGTGAATTCTGTTCTAAGGTTTTCAGTTGGACTGTTAATTCTTTTATGTGACTATCCTGTTTTCTTCATATGGGCACTTAGTGCAATGAACTTAGCACTGCTTTCAAGGTGTCCCATAAGTTCAGGTATGTTGTATCCTCATTCTCGTTGAATATTAGAAAGTCTTTAATTTCTTTATTTCTTCTTTCACCCAGGAGTTGTGCAATTGCACATTGTTAAGTTTCCATGAGTTTGTAGGTTTTCTGCTATTTGTGTTGTTGTTGAATTCCAATTTTAAAGCATGGTGGTCCGATAAGATACAGGGGACTATTCCTATACTCTTGTATCTGTTGAGGTTTGTTATGTCTCCTAGTATGTGGTCGATTTTAGAGAAGGTACCATGTGGAGCAGAGAAGAAGGTATATTCTTTTGTCTTTGGATGGAATGTTCTATAGATGTCTGTTAACCCCAGTTGTGACATAACTTCTGTTAATTCTTTTGTTTCTTTGTTGAGTTTCTGATTTGTGGTCCTGTCTAGTGTTGAAAGTGGTATATTGAAGTCTCCCACTATAAGTGTGTGAGGTTTTATATGAGCTTTGAGTTTTAGTAGTGTTTCTTTTACGAATGTGGGTGACTTTGTATTAGGGGCATAGATGTTCAGAATTGAGACTTTGTGTTGATGGATTTCTCCTGAGATGAATATGAAATGACCGTCTTCATCTCTTTTGACTAATTTTGGTTTGAAGTCTAACTTGTTAGATATTAGGATAGCTACGCCTGCTTGCTTCTTATTTCCATTTGATTGGAAAATCTTTTCCCAACCCTTTACCCTGAGGTAATGTCTATCTTTGGAGCTAAGGTGTGTTTCTTGTATGCAGCAGAAGGATGGATTCTGTCTTCGTATCCATTGTTAGCCTGTGTCTTTTTATATGTGAGTTAAGATCATTAATGTTGAGGGTGAGTAAGGTCCATTGATTGTTGATGCTTGTTTGATTTAGGTTTGTTGTTGGCAGTGGTATTGTGAATATATTTGTTCTGCTTCACCCTAGGTTTCTGGTGTAGTTGGGTTATCTGTTGCCTACATTTTTGTGGGCGTAGTTACCTTCCTTGGGTTGGAGTTTTCCTTCCAATACTTTCTGTAGGGCTGGATTTGTAGATACATATTGGGAAAATCTGGTTTTGTCATTAAATATCTTGTTCTCGCCATCTATATTGACTGAGAGTTTTGCTGGATATAGTAGCCTAGGCTGGCATCCGTGTTCTCTTAATACTTTTAGAACATCTATCCAGGACCTTCTGGCCTTGAGGGTTTCCATGGAGAAGTCAGGTGTAATTTTGATAGGTCTGCCATTATATGTTACCTGTCCTTTTTCCTTCGCTGCTCTTAATATTCTTTCTTTATTCTGTATGCTAGGTGTTTTGATTATATGTCGAGGGATCTTTTTTCTTTGGTCCAGCCTACTTGGGGTTCGGTATGCTTCTTGTACTTTCATGGGCGTGTCCTTCTTCAGATTTGGAAAGTTTTCCTCGATGATTTTGTTGAATATGTTTTCAGCACCTTTGAGCTGGGCTTCCTCACCTTCGTCTATGCCTATTATTCTTAGGTTTGGCCTTTTCATGGTGTCCCACATTTCCTGGATGTTTTGTGTTAAGGATTTGTTGGATTTATGATTTTCTTTGGTTGATGAATCTATTTCTTCTAGTTTATCTTCTGTGCCTGAGAGTCTCTCTTCCATCTCTTGAATTCTATTGGTTATGCTTGTGTCCGTGGTTTCCGATTTTTTGCCCAGCTTTTCAATTTCCAGCCTTCCTTCCGTTTGTGTTGCCTTTATTTTCTCAATTTCAGTTTTCAAGTCTTGAACCGTTTCCTTCACCTGGTTAATTGTTTTTTCTTGGCTTTCTGTACTTTCCTTAAGGAATTTGTTCATTTCTTCCACTTTTTTGTTTTTTCCTCCATTTCTTTAAGGGATTTTCTCACATCTTCTTTCTCACATGATTTTTATGATGGTGATTTTTAAGTCGTACCCTTCTGCTTCCTCTGCTTTGTTGTTGTGTTCCATTCTAGTTGGTGTAGATTCCCTAGATTCTGGTGGTGTCATGTTTGTCTTTCTGTTGTTAGGTGTTCTCTTGTATTGCCTTCTTCCCATAGTTTCTTCCTGTAGGTGTTGGTGGTGTCTCTTCCCTCTCTCTATGGTACTTCCCCGATGGTCTTATGTGGATCTGAGATTCAATATCTGTAGCTCTGTGTGGTCCAAGCTCTCTAGGAGGTTTCTCCGCAGACAGGGATCCAGGGATGGGGTCAAGGATGAGGATCCAGAAGAAGATGCCAGCAGGTACTCACAGTGGTCCTCTGGCCAATAGCTCTGGCCAATAGCCGGCAGAAGATCTTGCCTGCAGGAACTCCGCGTGGACCCGCAGAGATAGGCGGATCTCTGTGAGGGGCCTGGGACTCCAGCAGAGGACTGGAGGCGGGGTCAGAGACCAAGCTGGTGGAAATTGCAGGTGGTCCCGAGTGGATAGTCGGGTCTCCTTTCTTCGTAGTTGCTCTGAGAAGTCTTCGAAGTAGGGTGGACTGTTGGCTCCACCCTCTGTCCCAGTGCTCAACCAGAGCGGCAGGACCATAGGTGGGGTAGGGCACAGGGTAGGGGGGGGTAGGCTGGAGGTGGGGATGGGTGGGAGTGTATCAGAGCTCCAAGGGTGCTCTCGATGGGGACCAGAGACAGAAGCAGCAGGATCAGGGGCCAATCCAGGGAGTTCAGCCAGTTTTGATTTCTTTAAAGGTGTTCAAGATCTTAAAAACAACCTAGGAAGTAAATTGAATATAATAGCTGCCTAGAATAGAGTTTTAATGCTTTCCTTCCATTCTTTGTAGTTGTCTTATCCACACATACATGGGTAGTAGTTTTATGTATTTCTTTTGACAGGCTATTACCATATAACCCTGGGTAGCCTGAAGCTTGCTATATAGACCAGGCTGGACTCAAATTCACAGAGATCCACCTGCCTCTGTCTCCCTAGCACTGGGATTAAACACGTGTACCACCTTGCCCTGCTCTGATGATAGTTTTAAAGCAACTCATTTTGAGTGTATCCAGTTGAGCTTTTACAGCCTTTAAAAAAAATCACATTGGCTTGCATAATATTGGGCATAGTCAAATCATTCTGATCACAAATAACAGCTGCAATTGGGCATAAACAGGCCTGGAGATAAGGGATTTTTATAGCAGTGGAGACCAGTTAAGAGGTGGTGGGAAGAAGTCAGTGGGCTTTAAAGAACATAACCACAGCAGACAGCTCCTGTCTATTATATTATCTCAGTTATGGAGAGCAATCCCTTTTAGCTCTGTACATAATCGCTGAGAAGGAAATGGTATCATTAGGTTTCACTACTTATTCCATTTAGTTGGGTTAAGTGGTAGAAAGCTGTATGTGCTAAATGGTTGGGTTTGAGGTTGAAATTGTTTGAAAGTCAGAATTGTTGGTGAGGGTAGGGGCAGGACCAGAGCACTGGGAGAGAAGATAGCTGCCTGGTAGGTAGGGATTTCCCAGAGAATAAATGCTAGTGTAGAGAGACTTTGGGTAGCCACTGGAAGATGCCCTCCATGTCTTCTCCTCCAGCTGGAATTGGATACAGCTAATGTCCTCTGAGTCGTAAGGCTGTCTTTGACTAACAAGATTGCCATGCTTCTGTGGGGTATGTGTTTTAAGGATTGGTACAATATTAACTGGGAAGGAAGCCATAATCAGAGCATCGTTAGCCACTGGCAATGTTTCCAGGTCTGCGTCTGCTCAAAAGCTGTGCCCATTGCTCTGCAGTCACTTTCCTGAGCCCCTCTTCTCTTTGTCGTTCTTCTCTTGGCACTCTGCTCACACTGCCTCGTTCTCCTTGGATTCGTCATCAGCTTCTGTAAGGAGACTGTTAGGAGTAGGTTTTCCACCAGCCTGGTCACACTGCCATGCCGTATGAAATACAGAGACTCTGTATTAGATATAATTCTGTTGGCCAGTTACTAGTTTCTTATCAGTTATCTCTGTCTTAAATATTAACCCATTTCTATTAATCTAAGTACTTCACGTGGCCTTATCTTACCAGAGAGAGAGGCTGGCGTTCTACCCTGTAGGTCCTCCATCTTGGATCTCCTCCCTACTCCTTCCTCTTTCCTCCTTGTCTCCTACTCCCACCTATCTTGCTTTCCTATTGGCCAACAGTGATTTATTCATTAACCAATAAGAGAAACATATTTACAGAATGACATTTCCCATCAGGAGACTGACTGAGTCCTGGCTTGTAGCACACCATACTGTCCCACTTAGCTGTGGCAGTTCAGGAGGCTCCTACCCCTGTACTTTATTTTTGCCTTTCACACTCTTGCACATAGCTGTGTCTGCAGAGTTACTCCAGACCCCCATTCCCTGGGTTTGTCCTGACTGGAGTCAGAGTTTGATGTTGGCATCTGGTAGAGCTGATCTTCAGCTATATAATCTGTGTGACCTGTGACTGACTAACATACTTGCAGGAAGGCAGGGAGGTTGTTACCTGGGGAGGGCTTTTCAACCATTTGACTCAGTTTCAGCTCAGTTAGTTAACATTTGGCATGGTCTCAGTGACAAAGCTAGGTGCATGGATGGCTGCTATAACCTGATGTCAGGATCCTGAGCTAATAGGATGTATATGTGTGCATACAAATGTCACTTTGGAAAAAGATAGTTGAGATACTCAGCCTAGAAAGGGTATGAAAGTATTTAAAAACACATTCAGGCAATAAAGCAATTCTCAACTTGTGGGTCATGACCCCTTTGGGGTTGCATATCAGATGTCTATATTATGATTCATAACAGTAGCAAATTGCAGTTATGAAGTTGCAATGAAGTAATTTTATGGTTGGGGGTCACAGACACAAGGAGCTGTCTTAAAGGGTTACAGCATTGGGAAGGTTGAGAGCCACTACCGTAGCGGCTTAGGATGACACAGGCAGTAAGTTGGACCTAGGATTTGAACCTCATTCCTTTCACTTGACTTCCTTGGCTCCTGAGGAGGTTTGAGCATTCTTCTGTGAAGGGCTGCTCAGAAAGGGTTATTGTTTACAGACTCTAAGTAAAGGGATTAGTTCCATGGTTTGTAGACTTTTTGAAATACCACAAAACCTTCTGTTTAAATGAAATCTTGTAAAGTTGCCAAAAATCCAAAATGGCTAAGTACAAAGCTAGTGAGCAGGTGGGTGGAGGGTGTTTACAGTCGGCTCCATTACTCCCAGTGTCTCATCCTGCAGCCCCTCAAGGCCTTCGGAGAAACACAGTTCAGTGACATGGATTAGTGTAATTATACATACCCATCTAATTTACATGCCTCATAGAGGGTGTGTCCTGAGAGATCATTGTCCTTCCCAGATGGCCAACACAGGCTCCTCTTCCTGGAGCAATGAGACTGTTTCTGCATTCCTCTTCTGGTGAACACACCCATTTATCCACCCACCCACTCATTCACCCACCCACCTTCCTATCTACCCATCCATCCTCTATATTCGTTCTTTTTACATCCATTTGGTTGAATATTTGATTATGGTTTATATTTATGATCATGTTAGCTTATCACTGTGATGAAACATCAGACATAAAACTCCAGGGAGACTTTTATTTTAGCATGAAGCTTCAGAAATTTGGGTCCTTAATCCTTGGCTATGCTGCTGATGGGCCAGTGGCAGGCAGAACAACATGGGGACAGATACATGTGGCAGAATGGTTAAGAGAATACAGCCATTGGGAACATGTTTCCCATGACTCCTAGAAGATCTCCACGCCCCCTTTCAATACCTTTTACTGATAGAATTGTATTATGAATCCACCGAGAGATGAATATTTTGGTTAGGTCAGCATCTTCAGGATCACCCTCAATCACCCTCAAAGCCCAATCAGTTGACATGCCCCCAATGCATGTGCCTGTCAGGGAGACTTTGTTTAAACAATGCCGTCTAGTATATTTTAAATTAGCTCTTTGATACTTTCATATCTCATACAGTATCTTGATTATATTCAACACACACTCATCTTCCACCCCTCTTTAGCTTCCAAGTGTTTCTCCCTTCTGCCTTCATCTCCTCCTCTTGGCTGCTCTTCCTTTTACAAACCCCTGAGTGATGGGAGATGTCATTCTGTATATGTTTCTCATACTGGTTAATAATAAAGCACTGTTGGCCAATAGGAAAGGAAGATAGGAGGGACTAGGAGACAAGGAAGGAAATAGGAAGTAGTAAGGAGGAGAAAGATGGAGAGTCTGGAGAGAGCTGGACGCCAGCCGCCTCCCCGGTAAGAGAAGGCCATGTGAAGATACATAGAAATGGGTTAATAATTAAAGGCAGAGCTAGCCGATAAGTAACAAGTAACCGGGCCAACAGTATTGTATCAAATACAGAGTCTCTGTGTGTTGTTTGGGGCTGGCGGCGTGGCAGTGGGACCAGACAGGCGGCGGCAGGCGGCGGATGTACAGCGAGTACGTGATGTCTTGGTAGATCTCCTCACAGCAGTTGTACTTGATCTCATGTTTGTAGCCTGGGGCTTTGATGATGGCCCACTCGCCACTTTCCCAGTAGTCTTTGAGGTTCATTGAGGAGCCAATGAGGACCAGGTCAATCTTCGCCTTGTCGTATGACCACAAGCCAAACTTCATGGTGCAGTTTTGGTAGTCAAATGGGAAGTAGGTCACATCAATTTTACATGAGCTCTTGAAGATGGCCGGAGGGATCCAAGTCACCTCTCCTGTGTACTTGAGTAGAGCTTTGGTCTTGTCATCAACCTGGAAATCCCCATCAGCGTTGTTATAAAGCACAATGTCTGGTTTCCAGATCTTCTCTGCGGGGACGTGCATGAACTCCACCCCTTGGTAGTCAGAAGGTTTCCATTTCAGCTTGTAGTCGTTCCAGATTTGCTTCAGCCACAGGTTTGTCTCCATGATCTGGTTCACTTCATCCACCTTCACCAGCTGAGACATAGACACCTCAAACTGGACGGTGACTGGGTGGGACACGTTGGCCACAGGCCGGATGAACTCGTTGTAGTCTTCGAAAAGGTACTGGAACAGGCGGTGTTCAGCTTCTGAGGTACTGGCCACTGTACTCCTTACACCTGAGTCCAATTAGTGTGGCTTGCATGTGCACAGCTGTGGAGCACTCCATCAGAGCATGGACAGTTAGCAGCATCCACATCCCTACCCCAAACAATCCCTCCTCCCTCAGCAGCCATCACTTGTCAATAACTCCTCAGCCTAGGGGAAGTGCCTCATGAGCTCCTTTCCCATCCATGCTGAACATATTAACTGTGTTATCTGACGGTGTGATTGAGATAAAACAACAAACCAAACCCATGGGCTCTTAAGACATTGGAAGCATCCCTTCTACTCTGAGCTCAAGCTTTGTTTCATTGGCTTGATGAAGACGATCTATCTTCATAACAGCATCAACATGAAAGTCCTTGGCAAATTATAATTATATTCACATGACAAATGCAAGCCATCTTCTCTCTGATCTCATCAAATTCTGTTTAAGCAAATATTCCTTTTTGGGGGGTGGGGGGAGACAGGATTTCTCTGTATGTAGCACTGGCTGTCCTGGAACTCACTCTGTAGACCAGGCTGGCCTTGAACTCAGAAATCCAACTACCTGCCTCTGCCTCTTTGAGTGCTTGGGTTAAAGGCTCGTGTCACCACACCCAGCTAATAAAATATTCTCATTAATTAAAAGTTAGTGATATTTAAAGAATAAAGTATGTTTATTGGAAATAGGTGTATAAATATGAGCAAACTTTCTGGGTGATGGAAATACTCTGTTTTGATCTGAATAGTGGTATTGTGGGTATGGAAGGTGTAAATATTCATTATCTTAAGAGTAGTGTAATTTATTATATATAGTAATCCTATACATAAAAATGGCACTGAAAACATATGTCAATTGCTTTTAAAAATCTTAAGGATAGAGAGGACCCAGGATCATGGACTCCGATTGTCATTGCATCCTCACTGGGCAGAAATAGCATTGAATAAGGAGATGAGTTTTTTTTTTTTCTTCTGTGTGTGTGACTGTGGTATACATGCATGTGTATATGCATGTATTCATGTGCAGGGAGCATGCGAGTACATGGCACACACTTACATGTATGTGTGTCTGTGTGTGGAAGCCTGAGATTGACACAAGGCAATTTAAAGAAGGAAGAATTTAATTTGGGGGCTCATGGCTCTAGAGGGTTAGAGTCGCTGACCATCTGAGCAGGGAGACCATAGCAGCAGTTAGGCAGACATAACACCAGAGTGGTGGCTGAGAGCTTTCATCTCGATTCACAAACCTGAGAGAGAGAGAGAGAGAGAGAGAGAGAGAGCGAGCTGAGAAGCCCACCCTAGTGACACACCAGCAAGAACACACTTTCTAATCTTTCCGAAGAGTTCTACCAACTGTAAACCAAGTGTTCAAGTGTGAGCCATTGGGAACTATTTTCATTCAAACTACCACAGAGAAATGTCCCATATTACCTAAGAACTTCCTGTCAGGCCTCTTCTAAAGTTTTTATCATCTTACAGAAAGGTCACTTTAGCCTGGGATGTTAGGAGAACATTTAAATCCCAACTACATCATTAAAACTTTACAATAGGGTAGATATTAGCTAATATTTGAATTTGGGGGAAGGATCCAAAGTCTACACTCCGTGGAACAATGGGCTTGTAAATTACTCAAGAAAACACATTAGGCCAAAGGTTCTGGTCACTGTGCTTAACATAAGACCTATTCATAGTCTTTTGGTGACATCACTTAGAACAAAGCAATTGGCTTTGAAAGGAGAACACAAACTGGCATTTTGAAACTAAATTTTTATATTGAATTATATATTATGATCTTTGTCTCTGTTTTTCTATGAAGGAAGTATTGCCATTTATTTCTAGAAACAATGTGGCTGACTTGTTGATACCCTTCCTCCTGCATTTGTACTTGGGTACCTCTTCATTTTTTTCTGCTCACAGACTGACCATAAGGACAATGGGAGCCTCTCAAGCTGTGAGACTGAACAGCCTCCCATTTCCACATCCCCGGGCATATGAAGAATCCTTTTCAAAGAGGGTGTGGGATTAGGACATGGAGAGAGACCCAAAGGTGTATGGACCAACTAAGAAGAAAACCATGAGCACCTCCTACTCAACATCACCTTCTGTCACCGCCACCATTTTCCATGACCTCTATGTCCACCCGCACTTATATATTTTCTTTGGCTACTACCATCTCCCACCTCCACCGCCATCATCTCCCACCTCTACCTCCCGTCATCTCCCACCTCCATCGCCACCACCTTCAGCTTCACCACCACCATTGCTTCCTCTCTCCCATCTCTCCCATCTCTCCCCCTCCACTACCTCTTCCTTGCCTGCACCACTACCTCATGTACCCCCCCCCACAATCAACATTTATTCTACTTGAACATCTATCATCCCTTCATTTACAACTTTTATCACAAGAATATAATTTAACCAGCCATATTTAAATCAAGCCATTGACTTAGCCCAAAAAGTTATATTGGGATGACCACTAGAGAAATATGAGTTTTATATGTTTGCATTGAACTGCAAGAAAGTAAATTTTTCACTGTCGTTTATGGAGCTATAATAGAGATTAGCTATAATCTAAGTTGAAAATCAAGATTTAGGAGGATAAACATCCTATTGTGAAATACAGAGGTAAGATAGCTTTGAGAACTGAATGTAACTGCCTTCAGGAAATAGGAAGTAAGACTGCAACTTTGATCATTGAAATTAAGTTGAACATTAACCAAAATGTCTCCAAAGTCATGTTAGTCAATTAAGTCATCAAAATTAAAGTTTTAAAAAATTTAAACAGAAAGGTTGACAGCCAGTAGATAAGTGTTTTCATTGAGAATGAAATCCCAGAATACTTTCATCAGTAATGTACTAAAAGTGTTAAAACACCCTCCCAGAAGGGACTCTGATTAAAAAATAGGTGATATGGAAAGAGACTTTACCATACATGGTTCCTTTTCTTACAGGGGATGCTGAAAATTTCAGTATGCTAAAAAAGTACTAGATCTGGATAGCTTATGAATAGAACTGTAATACAACATTTTGGCAAAACACTTGTTGGCTTCAGTCCTATTCGTTGCTTTTACCGAACCATTGCCACACCTAGCCTACACCTTCCAGTGTATTGTTCAGTAATGGAGTATGGGTTCTCCCTTCAAGTTTTCTAAATTCTGGAACTGTTTTTGTGAAGACAAGTGTGGTGGGGTTTGAGATTTGGAATCTAGGTGATCTAGAAATGCTATGGTATTGCAGGCAGCTGAGCTGATAACTGGTAGTGGTGGGAGATGGGGTGGGTGGTTCTTTGGTTTTCTGAAAGCAGGTGCCAAACTGGAGAACTATAGTAGCATTTACGAAGACCTGGGTCTGAGTTCTGACTTGTTTCTGCCAACATCTTGTTGTGTTCAAGGTAACAGGAATTGTGTGGAAATCACAGCAGACCCTTGGCTCTTTATTTTTACAGAAGGGTTATTCTTCCCTTCCTCATGTACCGGAGTTGGTAGCTGAGTTGCTGTCATAGTATCAGGAAAGGGGCCGTGGAAGTTGGAGGGAGTACATATGCTGCTACTGTTTCTGCCTGCAAACCATATACCATGTGATGCAGTGACAGCAAAGAGTTGCTACAGCAATTGATGCAAAGCACACATGGGAAGTGCACATTTGCTATGCTCCGAGCTGAATTCTTTTTGAATATAAAGCTGTTTGCTATGTTCATCAATCATATCCTTAATCTCCACATCCCATGCAACCTCTTCAGTCAGAGGGCTGACACACAGGCAACTGCATCTAGAGCTGAAATTTCAGTCTGCTGGGAAATTTTTATTTGCCAACCTGCCACACTATTAAATGAGCCACTTGTTTGGAAGCCACCTATCTGCTAGCAGAATCTGTAAACCTGCACCCTTTGTTAGTCTTGTCATTAATTGGAAACAACCAGATGCTCTCAGGTTAATTCCAACCCTTTCAAATTCCTCACTATGCAAAAACGAAGTAACAGGAGGAGAAGCAGTATGTTTGGTAACATGACCAGCTCTCATCTGTCTCCCTGCTACTTCAAATCCATTAAGTTGCTCCAAAGCTGTCTGGCACATTTTAATTGAGAAAATGCAGTAAGTCCACATGCCTCAGACTGATCAGTTTCACTACCTATTGTTAACTGGATACTTTTAATCTTTCTAAAACAGTGACTCTCAACCTTCCTAATGCTACAACCCCTTAATACCTCATGTTGAGGTGACCCCATCATAAAATTACTTTCATTGCTACTTTGTAACTGTAATTTTATTACTGTTATGAATGATGGTGTAATTATGTGTTTTCCAATGACCCCAGAGAGGTTGAGACCCACAGGTTGGGAAACACTGTTCTACCTTCATGCCAGACTGGTATTTATATTCCCTTCTGAGAAAATCCAGCCAATTCCCCAAGAATCTTAATTTCTTAGACTTGTTTCTCAGAATCCCTCTTTAGTTTGCCTGGGGTGTCACAGACATGAGATCCTTGGCTAGGTCATGTGAAAACACTTCCCTGATTACAGAGAGATGTGATTGCTACAGCAACGGGGAGTCCTGGTGGCAGAGCTACCCTGCAATTATTTAAGCTAGCTACTCATATCCTGCCAGCGATGTCTTTCTGCAGAGAACGTGTGAGCCACTGAGGGGATAGGACCATCAGGCTGTGCAACTGAACCATGACCAATGGCTTGCCAGCCACAAGAATGGGTTTCTGTCTTTGCTCAGTGCAAGTTCTTACCTGCTTTACTGTTCTGAGTTTTGCTTGCCTTTAGTTCCTTCATCTGGAAAAAACAACTCTGAAGAGAGGAGTTATTAAGCCGCTGTTCCAGTTGGCATGGAATGCATGGAACTGGACCTTCCTGCGGGGACTGCCTCCATGTGAGGCAGAACTCTGGGATTTCTATACTTGCTTCAGTCACTAGGTCTTGCTTAGGTTGCCATCCATCCAGTCCTCTTACTGACGGTACTAGTATTAGCATGCAGAAGCTCTTCAGCCACACATTAGCAAACCAATCCATTGCATTGGGAAGAGGAAATTCCCATAGCAGACTCACAATAGTGGATTTGCCAACCATCCATCCACCCACCCACCCACGCACCCATGCACCCATCCACCGTGATACAAAATAATACTGGATTTGATGTTTGGCTTTCCCTGAAATTCCTGTTAGTCATTCTCACATCCTCTTCCAGCCTTCTTTTCCTTATTTATTGAATGGGGAATAAAAGCCTCTAAGCATTCTCTCTATCTCTGGACTGATGTCCTACTACTCCAAACCCTCTTCTGCAGATGCCTACAACACAGTATGTCATGTGTTTGAGTAATAGAAATGCGTTGGGTCTATTGCTGATTGCAGGTTGTGAGGTTTCTATCAGATCACATACATACAAACACAAGCAGAGCTGGCACAGCCCAGGCACTTCTTGGAGCGGAATTCCAATGGCTGTCAAAGGTTAGAGAACACAAGAGTTCCAGTCCTGACACTTAGTATTTGTACATAATAGCATTTGAGTTCCTACATCTCACCTCTTCATCATTAACGATGTTAAAATTGACCCTGGGCTATTAGAGATAAGAAAGTATAAGGCTACAGGGATAGCTGTGACAATCATAGCAATGTTCAAGAAGAAATAATAAAAATCTCAGTGTGATTTCTTAGTTTGGGTTTAGCTTTTGTCCATAGCTCAGGGCACTCATCTAAGTGTTAATAAAACAAAGCTCTTGCCTCTCCTTTATAATCACAGCACACACACAAACCTAAACATGACCTTCATATGTTTCCAGACAGCTGGGAAGAAATGAGTGTGGCCACCATAGTGGGCTGGCCTGGGGGCCTGCTTGTCTCATTTGTGCCCTGGAGCCACATACAAATAGTGAAAAAGCCTCAGGCGAGGCAGGTAAGAGCTCTGTTCTGGCCTCACTGTAAAAGGGGTCAGTTACTCAGCTCACTCAGATATTTGCCCTGGGTCGCTTTGCTGTGTGAGTGTTGGGGGTGAGAGTAGGTGGGAGGGATGGGAAAGGTAGGTGTTTGCTGCTACTTTTTCCCTACCACTCTTTGCCTTTATCCTCTAATCCAGGGAAACTGCAGGGAGAGAGGGGAAGGTATCAGCAAGCCTTTGTAGGAGATGCTTGCTTTTTCCCTATGTACAGAGGAGAAAGCTCCAACATCATTCACTGTAGGAAGCAAATGAGTTAACATTGTCATCACTGAACACGTTGGTATGTAGCTTTAGTTTCTAGCCTACAGCATGGAGTCCCAAGGTCAGCAAGGAATTTCAAAACAAGAGGAAGAGAAAAAGAATAGAGAATGTATCATGGCCAGGCAAGCTTGATATCCTTGAAGGAAGGTGACCTGAAAGGTAGGGAAGGCACCTGGTGCCATAGACCAAGATACACCCCTAATTAAATATCTCCAGGACTTCACATTGTTACTGTAGCATATCCTCACTTGTCCTGACTGATAGATGAACAATGCATTTAACACTCAGGACTTCACAAGGTGTGTTCGTACACTGGGAGAGAAAAGAACAAGGCCACAACCTGTTGGGGGCAAGAAGAAATGTAGAAACACAAGCCATCTTATTTGCACTGAACCAGCAAATGAAGTCCCTTAAGTCCTATGTTGTGGCCATGTTTTGGGATGTGTTTTTCAAGGATAAGGTCACCAGAGTCTGTGTGGCTTAAACAATAGAAACTGTGAACTAAATAACTAAATAAAATTATGAGTCTGAATGCTATAGGTCCCAGTGTTAGCTCGGTTGGTTGCTTTTGAAGTCCCTTTCCTAGGTGTATAGATGTTTGTCTCCTCTCATAGAGACTCCAATAATGCTGAATGAGGGCCCAGCACAATGACCTTGTTAAACCTTCATCACCTCTCTGAAGATTTTCCAAGTACAAACGTGATCTGAGGTACTAGAAAACAAGGCTTCATTTATGAGTTCAGGGAGAATTCCATTCAGTTTGTAACAACTATGGAATCATATCTACGGTACTGTGTGTGCTGACAATGATTTTTTTAAAGTGTATTTTCCCTCTCTGATGCTCCTGCATTCTGTTATTTCAGGACAGAAGTCCAATACTTGGATCAAATAGCCTAAGGTTCTAGGCATTTCCCTCTTGACAATGCAACATAATAACATCTACAAAGTTGATGCCCAAGAACTGCAATAAGTTACAAAGAAAACAATTTTGAGAT